TTCTTGTTCAAAAAATTTACTAGTAGTTTTCATTTGCGATAATTGTCCATCTGCAGTTATCCAATTAAGTCGTTGCATATCAGCTAATGGTAAATTAGCACCAAGTGTTAATTCAACTGTATTACTAATCATTCCTATAGATTTAAATAATGATTGTAAATCAATTGTAACTGGTTTTGAATATGTATCATCGTCTAATAATTCAAAATAATGTTCAAGACGAATAAGATAATCTTTAGGTCCTAATTGATCTAATGTTAGTAAATGAACATTTAATGGTAGTGTATCGGTTAAAGCTGACCATGTTTGACGATATGCAGCTGAATAACTATCATAGTCTTGTGGATTGACTGCAAAGGTAGCAATCGGATGCATAAATAAACGTTGAGAACCAACACGATGGTATCGAGCACTTGAAGCTGGTGGTTCAACAATAAGAAGATGTCGACCACGAACAACAAGACCTTCGCCATATGCAGTTTCATTTAAAGGTTCACCAACACCAAGTGAATCATCATTAAGAGTACGTCGATGTAGCATAATTTCAATAGAACCATCTTGAATACTACCACCACCTTCTGATCGATCTGTACAAATATTAAAAAAAAAAAGAAAATTAACTCATTGAAATGCACTCTTATTTTAGAATTATTGTAGATTCTTTCATACAAAACGAAACAATATTATATTCTTTTTTTTTTTTATTCTTACCAGTAAGAACAGTAAATTGTCGATTGTCTTCTTTGATCCATATTCGACTATTGATTGGATAATAATTTCCACTAACTGTTTCAACAACTGTATAATTCCATGTTGGTCGATAATCTCTTTTTCTTTCTAAAACTTCACGTCCATTTGCATCGGTATAATATTTTGATAGACTTTGAATATCAGTATCATAACGAATAATAATTTCTTTACCAATATTATCATTGATTGGAATAGGTCCAACTGTCCATTCAACTTCAACAAATTCTCCTTCATCATATAAACTTATTTCTTGACTTGCCCAATCATTGAAAACAATGATTGCTGTTTGCACATTTTGTGCTTTTATACATGTACTAAATTACATTTAAAGTAAAGAGAAATAAATCTCGACGCAAAAACAAACACTTACATTGAACGTGTTTGACTAACTGGTAATGCATTTGGTGTTAATGGTCGAAAGATATAAGCACCAGATGCTTGAAATTCTGATTGAGAATTATTACCAGGAAAACCTGAATCAAAACAAAACTTTAAAACTTCGGACATATCGATCTATTTTGTTGATGTACCTTGATACCAATAGAAACCTTGACTAACGAATGATACATCAATCTTTTGATTTATATTAACAATTTGATGTAGATTGCCTTGATCATCGAAGTCTACTCGAAGATTCTAAGAACAGTACAAAAAGTAATTAGAAAGTATTTCACTTCTTATCCTACTTGATTTTGTAAAACACATTCTTCATTATGTGTAATTTTCACTTTAGATTGTTTATATTTCTCTTCCTCTTCCTCAGCTAGAAGAAATAAAAATTTTCTTTGTAAGAAAGTTGGAGGAATGTTAAACAAAAGACGTCTCACGTTTCTTTTCGAAATAATACGAGTTAAAACCAAGAGCTGGTAAACTAGCTTTAAAAATAATTTGTTTTTGTGTAACGCTTGTTCGGCCTGGGATATTCTGTGTTGCATACGAAATAGGTATTAGCTAAGAAAAAAAAATGGAATAAGAAAATCGTCAACAAAATATATTTTCTTTTCAAATACTTCAGACGAAACAATTTGTCCTGTTGGATCACGAACTGTATAATCTGTTCTAACAGGTACACGAACATGTTGAACAACTGGATGAATTGTTGGATTCCAAAGTGTCAATGTAAACTATTCAAAGAAAGAAAGAATAAAAACAAATAAAATGATTGTGTCATTACGCGGTCTTGTCCATCAATTTCTAAACATTGACTAATGTTTGATAATTGACAAAGAAATTGATTTGATACGGGTGGAGATTGACCATCTTTAGGTAAAAGTTTAGAAAAAGCTTGATTGATGACATTCTAAATAGAGATAAAAAGTTGATTTCTTTATATTACAGAATAAATAGTTTTAATACATAAAGATATTAGAAATTTAAGAAACACAATATTATTTCTATATATCTAGTGGAACTTTTTAAAATTCATACGAACGATAATAAATTTAGTGAGTCACACACATTATAAGACTTTATTGTCTTATGAAACTGTCTAAACTCTCCACCGTTATATTTTGTATACAAATATTTTTTTCATTACATAAATAGATTTTTTTATTTCAACGTACTTCGGCTGCATCAATGCCAACAGCTAATCGTTGAGCATAATCAAAAGCAACTTCTTGTTTTTCTGTACCACTAACAGCATCATGATGTTGAGCAACACCCATGGCTTCACCTATGTTTCATAACATATAAAAATTTTTCAAGTATAAATTTAAGAAACAAAATATTCTTACTCAAATAGAAAATACTATTTCGTAAATTAAGATTAGCAATTGCATTAAGTTGTCTTGTAACTTGTAAAATGTTATTTGAATGACGTTCATAACGTTTCAAAGCTGCTCGTGATGTAAAATATCCTGTCCAAAATCCATGAGGATGATGAGCATATGGGAAAAAATCATCAGTTTTCAAAGGCCACGCACGATCAACTTTATTCAGAGCGTATAAATAACATGATGGTGTTGAATAGAAAACATTAACATTACTACCAGTAGCTTGCTAAATTTAAATTTATTCAAAAACATAGTTTGCTCTGAAGAAAAAGGTAAAATAAATAGATGTACCTTAGCATTGACATATTTGATTAACTTATCCAAATTTTTAAATCCTTCATTTGCATTTTCGTATTGAAAATCGCTGCCAAAAGTCATAATTGTATGATTAGTAGCATAACCAATAGCCTATAGAAAAAAAAAAAAAGATTCTAGCCATTTTTTATCCTTATTAAGATTGTTAAAACATTTGTAGTCATTAAATTAGCATTCTTTTTGAATGATTGATATAATTTATTTTCTACTATCTATATATTTTTGATGTGTTAACAATAAAATTACTTTTTTTTCCATTCTAGATGTCAATAATTTCAAAAGATCTGTAGATACACTTTATTATCTGCATTTTCTCTTGATATAAGAATATGTTTTCCTTATAAACACATTCGTACATTTCGGGTTCAGATACGACTAAGTCGCAATGTTAAAGTTTCATAAACGTAAGGTAACATACGGTTTTATGTCAAATATTTGTAAATGACTTATCTGTCGCTCATAAACCAAAGTTTTGTGTACAAATGTGACAATAACAAATTCACAAGTTTTACTTTATCTATATACGATTCATGCGTAAATACGAACCTCATCATGAGCAGCTTGAATGAATGATTGAACACGTTCATCAACATTGTAATCGTAGAAATGAGGATCATCCTATAATAAATATATAGGTGCAAACAAATAATAATAATTAGTACAAGATATGGAAATAGTAGCTCTATCAAACTATGAAGATAGTCAGAGAAAATATTTTACTAAAAAAGTTGTTTTCACTTTGAACATTGATTTGAATCGACTGCTCACCTCAGTCTTCTTTCTCTGTGTATTATTCGTGAACAGCTCTTTTTTTCTTGTTAGTAAGAAACTTCTTAGAAAAATTAATTATATATCAACATATCGTCTCTAAATAGATACTTGTTTAAGTCATTTTCAAGTCTTTCTTGTTATAAGTAAGCAAAAGCACGAATAAATCATCAAGATAAAAAACTATTGAGTGAAAGTTATTACTGACCATGATAGGATTATCTGAACATCTATAATCAAAACAGAACGAGTTTGGTGGACCATATCCATTAGGTAAAACACCAGTGAATAACCAACTTTTACTATCTAAAGTTTAGATAGATTTTTCAATTTGTCTTCTATTTAAAATAAGACTCTCACTAATATGTTTTATTCTTTACTCACCTAAGTTAGCACTGGCTTTCCAAACCATTTCCATTGTTTTTGTTCTGTTACGTGTTGCACGATCATCATAATCAGCCCGACCAAAAAATAAACCATCAAAACCCATCTGAAATCATTCATTCATGAAGAATTTTTCAAACATTCATCAAACACAAACAAAAATTTACTTGTGCAAAAAGTGAAGCTTGTTCACGTGAATGACCAAATGGATCGATTTGCCAACCAATTTTTGGTCGACCACATTCACCAAATTTATCACGTAAAAACTCAGCTCCTAAACTATGCTGATCAATAATTGAATTATAATGAGTTGATGCTTCATCATTCATACACCAACCACCAGAAATAAATTCAAGACGACCTTTGAAAAAGAAAAAGGTTTATCCTGCAAAAAAAAAGAAAATATTTTCTATTTTAGGAATTTTACCTTCGTTAACAAATTGTTTGACTTTATCACGCATAGCATCTGTTTGTTGATTCCACCAACGCCAAAAGAAGCCAATTTCAACATAAATAAAACGTCGATCAGGATTTTCGTCTAGTGCAAGCATAACTGAATCAAGTATATATTGTACACCGGCATGTTGAATATAATTGCGAGCTTAATAGAATAAGACATGGGTTTAATAAAATAATTGTTAAAAAAAAATGAAAATATTTTTGTGTGGCATCGAGGGATTTTCATAACTTGAACTTCTAACTATTACTAAGAGAATTTGAGCCAAACAATATTCTAATGTATATCAAAGGATAAAAAAGTTTCAATCTGTTTTTTCTTTGTTATTGACTTTGTCACTTTTTATATTGATATAATAACTCCAATATTGGATACATGCTATTCATTTCTATATTTCAGACTATTGCGAAGATTGAGAAACGTTTTCGAGAAACAATGGGAAAATAATGTTTACATCTGATTGTTAATCTTATTATTAGAAAATCTATTTTGATTCATTGCCAAATTATAAAACCTATCGAATATAATAAAACAATTCAAAATATATTTACACACCTCCATAGTAATATTGATCGACTGTTTTCAGCCATCCAACATCATCATGTGTATGCGCAACAATGTGAACATTAAGCATATTGGGATCACCTAAATTACATGCCTGAAACGAAGATCATATTTAATGTAACGAAAAAATGTTTTTGTTTTAATTTTCTTACTTCATAGCCACATCCACTGGATCGCTTGATTGGGACTGAAATACAACTAGAGACAAGAACAAATATCCATCCGCAATATGTTAAGACATGCATTGTTAGAAAAAGAACCACAACTTCAAAGAAATAAATAATTTGTATTTGAAGATGCAATGATCATTTGAACTCACAATATGTGGTTAACTCAGGACAACAGAATAGAACACACCAGTGCGTGTAGTGTAGATTTATATAAAAATGAATTTATAAGCTGATGTTATCTATGAATTTGTGGGCAAAAGATATGATGGCTCAAGTTTACTTTGCACATCGGTTGATGTTTGATAATGATAGATAAGAAAAACAAACAGACAGATATATTTATATATAGAGTGTGAGAAAAAAAGAAATAGATAATAGCATGTCACTTGAAGATTCCTCTGACTATGATATTTTTTGTTAGATGAAGCAATAATTGATAAAGTAACTAGAACAAGCAAAGAGAAAATAAATATTATATCTTTATTAGATGTCTATGTGTACCATAGTTCTAACCTGTGTTTTGAACGATGCTGAGAGAGAGAGAGAGAATGAACGAAAGTCG